GATAGATAGATAGATAGATAGATAGATAGATAGATAGATAGATAGATAGATAGATAGATAGATAGATAGATAGATAGATAGATAGATAGATAGACACGAAGCAGGCATAACAAGAGAAGAGCAGGTCCCACTTTTCAGTGTCGACATCTTGTAATGTAGTTCTATCTAGTGACCACTAGGTGGTAGAAAAGATGTGCATTGAAATCGTTGCTTTTTTCCSCTCTTTTTTTCTTTTACTTATCGTGGGATATGTATCTGAAAGTGATGACTGCTGTAGTTTGATTCCTAACAGATATTATAACTGCTAGGATTGTACAAGACTTTAAAACACACAACAATGGCAACAACTCAATCATTTGCACATATTTTTACATACACTTACTCCAAGAGATACACATCATGTGAAATCTTTGCCTGAATATTTGCCTTTAAAAACTGGAGTAAAGTTGTCTGTTTGCAAAATATCTAATGAGCCATTTGATGGAATCTAATAAAACTTAGAAAGTAATGGCTGTAATTGTTAAACTTACAGCTGTGAGTCATTTCCAACACATGGTCTGAGTGTGACATATTGAGACATCATAGATTTGTGCTTGATTTTGTTTTCAAGCTTTGATTAAAATGGCACTTTCTTTCTCTCTCAACCTATTAGATGATCTTTGTCTAAAAMCCTGGCAGAAAAGGTGGCAGGCGACATGCATTCCTTTAAGGAATGCTGGCTCTTTTTCATTCTAATTTTTATTTCAAAAAAATGAATATAAGCATGTTTTCCAAAGACTTTACTTATTCATATCAAACAATGCAATTTTTATTAAACCAGTAGTCCTAAATAATACATTTATTACTAATTTAGACGCTGATTTGTCCTCATATGATGGATAACACTGAAATCTTTATGCAGCAGTCCAAATACATTACATTTTTACATAAATAATAGCTTTTTCTAGATTTATTTTCACTGACACCTATCTGTCTCCTATGGCTTCCTCAGAGGTGAGAAAAACTGGCATCCTCTCCTCTACTTTTACATCAACAAACAGCGTGGCTTGYGTAGAGCAATGAATAAATGATCACCCAGTAACAAAAGCAGTCAGGGAGGTAYCATCATGGAACTACCAGTTCTAGGTAAAGTCGCCTCACTACTTGGCATCCGGCRTCCTTCTTTTTCACACTCTGTGATGATTGAGTTTCCAATCTGAGCCTGACAATCACRGAAGCCGACTGTTAGGAGACGCCACTGACAAGTTGAATAAGACTCTGGAGAGGCTCAGGGTGACAAACAACCAGAGACGAGAGAAAATTTAATTTATTAATGAACAAAAGTATAGGATGTTGCCAGACGATCTGCTTTGTCTGTGCATTAAGTTGAAGGTGTCGGTCCCATTAGACAACATTTCTTAAACATTATGGAAAGAACACGTCTGAGCAGGTCTGTGCATGCCATAGGATCACATCCGCTAAGGTCTTTCTACAACTCCAATTTCAATGAAGTTGGGACGTTGTGTAAAACATAATTAAAACAGAATATGATGATTTGCAGATCGTTTTCAACATTCAKTTGAATACATTACAAGATATTAAATGCTTAAATGGATAAACTTGATTTTTTTTTTTGCAAATGTTCACTCMTTTTGAATTTGATTCTGCGCATGTTCTAAAAAAAAATAACCTGGGACAGGAGCATCGAAAGACTGAGAAAGTTGAGGAATGCTTAAAAAACACCTGTTTGGAGCATTCCACAGGTGAAAATGTTCATTGGAAACAAGTGAGTGTCATGATTGGGTAWAAAGGGAGCATCCATGAAAGGCTCAGTCATTCTCAAGCAATGATGKGGAGAGGTTCACCACTTTGTGARCAACTGCATGAGCAAATAATCCAATGGTTTAAGAACGTTTCTCAATGTGCAATTGCAAGGAATTTAGGGTTTTATCATCTACAGTCCAGAATTTCATCGAAAGAATCAGAGAATTTGGACAAATCTCTGCAAGTAAGCAGCAAGGCCAAAAACCAACACTGAAAGTCCGTGACCGTCATTCCCTCACTGCATTAAAAAAATGACATCATTCTGTAACAGATATTAACACAGGGGCTCAGGAGCACTTCAGAAAACTATTGTCAGTGARCACAGTTCATTAATACATCTGTAAGTGCAAATCAAAACTACCATGAAAAGCCAAATATTGACAACACAAAATTTTTTAAAAAAATGCTGTCGGCTTCTCTGGACCTAACTCATCTGAGATGGGTTGACTCAAAATGGAAAAGTGTCCCGTAATCTGACGAGTCCACATTTCATTTTTTTTTTTTTTTGGGAAATCATGGACGCTGCGTCCTCTGGGCCTACGAGGAAAAGGACTGATTGTTATCAGTGCAAAGTTCAAAAGCCAGCCTCTCTGAYGGTATSGGGGTGTGTTRGTGCCCATGGCATGGGTAACTTRTACAWCTGTAAAGGCATCATTAATGTGGTTTTGGAGCAACATGTGCTGCCATCCAAGCCACGTCTCTTTCAGGGACGTCCTGCTTATTTCAGCAGGAAAATGCAGAGCCACATTCCGTATTTGTTACAACAATCCAGACTATCTCCCAKTGAAAATGTGTGGTGCATTATGAAGCACAAARTATGGCAACAGAGACCCAGACTGATGAGCAACTGAAGYCGTATCAAGTAAGAATAGGAAAATATTCCACCAAAGCTTCGTCATTTAGTGTCCTCAGTTCCCAAACACTTGTTGAGTGTTGTTAAAAGGAAAGGTGATGTAATCCTTTATTAACAAAAGTATGGCAGTATTTAGGCCTGGTCAGAATTTTCTTCAGCATAGATTATAACACACAAATCATAATGCTAAATGTAAAATAGATTTCAAAGCAAAATATGTGTTTACAAATTGAGAATGTTTGTAAATCTTACGTTTTTCAAATCTTGTGATATTGCATGAGATTGAGCAGAACATTATTTCCAAGCTTTGATCCAAATGGCTACAATGGTCAACCCAAAAGCTCCAGTGTGCAGCTCTGACCTCCAGTTAACAAAAATAAATAAATAAATAAAAAGAACCAGGACAAATGAAACAATAGCTGAAGCCTGACCATTTTCTCTTCTGCTCTKCTCCCTTCACCTGGAGCACATTTTATGCACCATCATCAACATGACCAGAGTGTCACTTCATCAGCACATCTGACAAAGCATTTCTGTCCCACTGTCAGACAGCGAGAAGGTTAGAAAGCGCCGGCCTCCCTGACCTGAACCATGAGCCCGAGCATCATATTCATCAGAAAACCCCTCAGAGTCAGAGAATGAGGAGAGCAACAAAAGAAARATATTYATGGATGGGTCCCTGCACCTAAACTCATGCTTTTAATATTCTCTTCCAGTTTAACCAGAAGTTATGATTTAGGACACACAGTTCCCCTGAAGCTGACTTGGATCTGTCCTGATGCGTAATTTCAGAGGGATGCCGTTCAGATGTGCTGCTTTTGGCACTGCAGCCTGTAAAAGGACACCTACATGAGGGGATGGGGTGAGAGAGGAAGAAAGGCATTACTGTAGTGTATAATTCTGGAAGAGAGAGAGGAAAAGGGCGTGTTAGGATGTCAGGAGGGAGTGGAAGATACGCTTTGAAAACAAAAAAAGCCTGAAAAAACCTATCTAATCTGTTTTTTTAGGTCTTTTTTTTACACGTGCATTATAGATGTCCACGGTCTGCTCTTCTGGGCGTTACATAAATAGTAAAGGTTAATTAGTTAGTTGAGAAACTGGATCGGGGCGGGCGGTCCGAACTTGATCCATACTCAGGTAACTCAAGCAATCCCTTTTGTCAGGGCAGTCGGGCCTATATAAACCCACCTGGACGGACTGGAGGCACCACATCGCCTCACCTCAGCTGGATCACTAACCTGGAGGGAAACTTCTGAACCTGTGAGTTACTCTCGTAGAGTCGGATTTTTAAAAGTGCTTTCCTTTTCTTTTGACTAAATGTTTCTAATGGCAAGTCCTTATAATTCTGTCCTGTATAATTTATTACAATTTTACTGACTAAACAGTCACTGTGGTGTTTCCTCCTACAGGAAGGAGTAAAATGTCCATGTCATCTGTCCTTTCTCCTGATGCCATTGACAAGGCTATCAAGGACTGCCAAGGTATCGCTTTTTCCTAATGTCTTGCAGGAGAACAACTGGAGGAAAATATATTTGCAGATTTAAAAAGACAGAAACAGATTTATTTATTGTAGATACTATAATTAGAGCAACTTTACTATAAATCAAAGATTCCAGCTGAGTGATTTAATGATATTAAAGAAAAAAACTCTCCCTTTTTTGCATCGACTTCATTAAGAACATCAACAAAAATTACATCTGAAGCCGTTTTTTAAATTTGTTAAACTTGTCCCTATAATTTAAATTGAGATTCATTCTAAAACATTAAAAACTTCAGACACGATGCAAAGAAAATGTTCAAATTGTTTCTGAAARCCGGACCAGAGTTTTATAAATAAAAAAAACTCTTTGGTTTTCTTCTTTAGCTCCTGAGTCCTTTGCGGCAAAGAAGTTTTTCCAGACATGTGGCCTCTCCTCAAAAAGCCCTCAGGACATAAAGACGGTTTTTGGGCTCCTGGACAACGATAACAGCGGATTTATTGAAGAAGAAGAGCTAAAGTGAGTGTGTTTGTTGGGTTCTGTTCATTTTGGAAACTAAAGTTAAATCCCACACAAGGCATACAAAYTACAGGACATTTATCTTTAGCTTAATCAACTGTTGATGCTGACATGAAAACAACTGCAGGTTTTGTAAAAGAAAATTTTAGTTAATGAGAAATATCTGACTTTTAGAGAAGCGTTGTCACTTTTGCACAGATGAATCATCCGTTAAAGCACTGTTAGGTAACAGTAGCTGGTTATTTGATGGACAAAAATCATGCACTGATTCATTTTGCTCWGTGCAATAATTGTTTACATCTAGAATAAAGTCTTGCCTCGGTGTAGATGAGCTCACGACGTCTTTCCAATTTATTTGATGGCATTTAAAAAACAACATTTGACTTTGACCTGAGTTTGTCCGTGCTTTTTGCTTTCYACCAGATTTTTCCTCCAGCGGTTCTGTCCTGCGGCTCGGGTCCTGACAGAGAGGGAGACCAAGGCCTTCCTGAGCTTAGCTGATGATGACGGTGACGGTCAAATTGGATCAGCAGGTGAGAAGTTTGATTTTAGTACGTCGTTCCTGAAGGAGTAATGGACAAAACGTTAACATCTAAAGGCATTTTCTTCAAACAGATATATTTTTTAGTTAAAAGCTTAAAGTGGTGTCACAGGAGTCCAAGCTGAATTTATGGTGTCCTTAGAGTCCTTCTAGTTTTTCATTTTCTTTTCTTATTTGTCCACAGAATTCCAAGCTTTGGTCTTGTCCTAAACAGCTGAGAGTCTCCATCTTGATCCAAACCCTCCCCGCCACCCCTCACTGATGGCTTCAAGGGCTCTCACTTTAGTTTGTCACATTTCATCCAAACAGCAAAAAAAAAAAAAAAAAAAATTAAAAATAAATCGAATGAAACCTTCACGTTGTTCTAATCGGTTTGCTAAACCCGTTCCAGTCCTCTGAGATCTCCATGGCTGACGTGTTTTGGACCAGTTTTAAAGCTGTATAACCCAAAGAAATGTAACTAAATTAATGAGAAATTAAAAGCGTAGAAACCCAGTTTCTGTGGCTCTTTTTGTTGTTTRTATTCAAATGTGCACAACTGGATCTGAAAAAGGATCAAAAGGTTTCTGGTCTTTTAATTAAAAAGTGGGTTTTACTTACTCTTATGCAGCACAGAGGTAAATCAGATTGGATGTCGGACACATGAGAGGTGACACCAGCAGTGTGTGTGTGTGTGTGTGTGTGTGTGTGTGTGTGTGTGTGTGTGTGAGGAGAAGGAATTCATACATCTATAGATGTGTAGAGGGAGGGAATAGCAGAGGAGTTTGACCTTGCTGACCACCTGAGTGTCACTGTGGTTGGATCGAGTGACACCTGACCTCAGCTCTGTAAATAAACCCATCTGAACCCCAGAGCTGCTCCGAATGGGAAAACACAAAACCCAGAAGCATTTGCAACTCAAACATAAGTTTAGATACACACAACCAACCATGCAGGAGCTCCAGTGCTCGCAAAAATAAATAAATAAATAACAGATTTCTGTGTTGTGCCCTGTAGAAGTGAATATCAATGAGTGTTTGCTCAGGAAATATAATCCTGTTTCTCTCTCACCACACTTTTATAAACATCACTCAGTGTCTTTTATTCTCTCACAGGATTCCAGGGATTAAAYTTAACAACCACCTCACAGGTCTCCCACCCAAAAAAGTACAGAGTAGCCTTTTCTTCTGTGTGATTTGATGTTTATTACAGGGGGCAACCTGACTATTACAGCCTGCACCTGATTCTCACACCAACCTGGGGGGGGGGGGGGGGGGGGGGGGGGTGCACCCTGACATTAGCATGAGCTCACTCACGGTCACCAGCCCACATCGTGCCTTCGGGCTTTTTGCTGCTTTATTCTGATGGCTTGCAGTAATAATGGACGTGCTAAAAAGACTTTAGAAGTGGGGTTCTGTGGAACGGCTGTGAACAATCAACATCTTACCTGTTGTAGGTAGCTCTTTGAAACATTTCAAAATGTAGAAATTAAGTTTAATTCTAACTAGATAAACAATATAATGGTTCATCTGAGAGAGACCAAGAGCAAAATGAATTGTTCTTTTAACAACTCAACTGCAAAAATTCATGTGGTTCTTGTGAACACTATTATAACTTATGTTTTATGTTTATATTATTTGAATCTGATGTCATAGCCGAGGGAATCTTATTTCTAACTTYTACATTTTCTCAATGAAAGACACTTAGATTTTCATTTTGAAGGCAAGTAATGGTTTAGTTTCTTTCTGCGTTGCCTTGCCTTCAAATTAAAAACCTTCAAACTTAATTTAATGTACAAACAACAAACATAACACACTCACTTGTGACACCAGTTTCAATACAAATAAATAAGTCGTACATCGAAAATATTAAGAAGAGATACAGATATTTTACAGCTGTTTCATAAACTGCTGGCAATTTCACAATAATACATAATATTATAAAACTGTGCTTATGTTTCCATAACCTATGTTTACATTCGAGTGCAGATAGCTGCAGCAGCAGCTTKCTGTAGCAGTGCGGAGTATTTCCAGCAAAAAATTTCAAACATGTTATGTTGAAATAATCATATGATGCAAAATTCAGTGTAAATGTTAAATAGTAGCTCGTGCATAAATCACTATAAGGTTTTGGAAATGGAAAATACTTTAAGACAAAAGTCTTTTTAGTTAAACTATTTTACTCCTTTTGGTGGAGGTTTAAATAAAGATATTTTTTCATAACCTTTCTACAGAACCCCATTTCAAAAGATCAGAATTATACCTTTAATGGGATTTTAACGGAATGTGTGGAATGTAGTGGTTTTAGTAGTTTTAATGTCAAATAGAGAAATATATATATAAACAGAGCACCCACCAGGATTCATGCAGTAAAAAAAAATAAACAAAAAAACAAATTTGGTTCATTTTAAAAAGTAAAATTTGCATTAAATTTCCTCTAAGCTAAATATAGATCAAAGGAAAATAAAAAAGCCGGACTGTGACAGAGATTTTTTTCTTTATTATTTTGTACTWACTGCTGCAAGTTTTGCATTTAAAGAAATGCAAATTTATGTATTCTGACAAAAATTATACGCCGTTTGAGCAAACCAACGCTGACCCTTCACAGAGCCAGAGGTAATCTGATCAGCACTGACTCATATCTGCTTTTATCAGTTTCTGATCTTAATCTGTGCTGGGGCGGGGGGGCAGAGATCACTCAGCTGAAAGCGGGACGAGGCTGGGGAAGCCAGAAGGTAACACAAGCCAAGTGACACACAATGAAGCTGTGACTGTCAGGAGCCATGAGTGACAAACAGGAAGGAAAGGTGAGCCAACAGGTCCACACTGACCTGCTGGATGTGCTGGTGTGAGGCAGCAGCTGAACGCAACCACAGATTATCTGAACTCAAGGGCAGACAAGGTGGTGGGGGGGGGGGGGTTGCTCCTTTTGGGAATTGAAGGGGAGGACAAAACTGATTACAGCAGAAAAAAAAAAATTAACCGTGCGTGCAGACTTGTTTTGCTCTACATCAATGTCTTCTCACTTATATCCACTTATAGGCTATCTGAATACACATTTTGCAAAGAAAAAAGAAAATGCTAATAAAGATGTGTTTTATTTGCATTTTTGTTTCTTGCGGATGAATTCCTGACCAACTTTGTATGATAAAGAAAAAAACCGGCTATGTCTCGCCAAAATAAGGACTGCTCATCATGTCTGAAGGTGTACCAAATGAAAAAGAGTGGTTTTGAATCCTTTAAATGCTTTATTTGATTAAAATTTGCACAAAATACCAAGTGGACCTGCAGCTTTCAGACACTCAGTTTTCAAACTTCTTGCAACCAGCTGTGTTCAGTTCTTGGAATTTAAAAACAATCCAACCGCGCTCTCTTAATTCTTTGCAAAATTACATTTAGAACTGTTGGGAAAGAGGGACAGATGGACGGACTGCTCACATGGAAACAATGATGAGACTGCGGTGCAGGACGACGTCACGTTGTGGTGCAGTTTGCACAAACTCTTCAGAACTGTGGAGAAAATGAAAGAAGATGGTGTTTGATCCACAGCAGTCATCTGTGGTGCCTCGATAGAGAGCAAGCAGAAAAATGGGAAAATATTGTTTTATTGCCTTTTTAATACGTTTTAATGGCACAGCTACTTTTTGAGAACAGTGATTCATTTCATGTACATTGTATTCATATTACAAATAACACAATCTTATTTTGTCATTATTTAATTGAACTTCCTGCAACCAACTTTAACAGACTTATACAGAATGATGACATGTTGATATTGTTGCTGCTGAAGAATTCAGACTTTCTGGGATGAGCTTCATCTGGTCGAAAATATTTGTTTGTTACTTGGATCTCAGTCTATTTGGAAAGAAAACTGCAGCATTAGATGCCAAACAAAGAAACGACAGTTAACTGAAATGAATCTTTCAGATGAACTGTACCTAACTGAAGCGTTGCGTCCGTCTGTCTGACAGCTAACACCGTCCTGAACTTTCTGTCTGGATTAAGGCTTTGGGATGGACACTGATGCCGGGGCTTTTCTTTATGAGGCCTCAATAATTGATGCTCTCGCTTCATTGTCACCAAAAACTCATATCAAGAAAGGAGTGTCAGGCTCACCTTACTGATTAAGTCTGCGTGAAACTTTAATGTGCATCTTCAGCCGACAACAAACCGGCTTCCCCTGCAAAGGCCCGATCATATTTATGACATCCTCTGGGTTTTGAGAGCCTTGACGTATCAGGGACGCTGCCTGGCACCTGATAGTCTGCCCAGGGAGGAACGTCGTAAAAGATTTAACTGCCCAGTTAGGGCATCTGAATGGGTTCTGCGAGCTCTCTGTAGGAACTCCATCCATAATGCAAGAGATGACAGCCCTGCTGTTCCCTACATGYCAGAGTCTGCAGGCTGTTCTCATGATGCACACATGTAGATTCCACCTCATTAAAGAGTGATAGACCACAAACACATCAGTGGTCATGATGCACCTGCGATTTCTCGAGGTCTGTTAGTCCACCTTGTCCTGAGTCAGCGTTTACATGAAGGCAAATGAACAGGTTTCTAAATATAATTTGAGCAGTGTATATTAACTGGACTATTGTACGTTTGCAGCYTAAAGCCACACCTTGCTTAAACCCCAGAGCAGCTGTTCCATGAGCTGACTCATCTTCTGACTTGGTAATGGCTGGCATGAAGAGGTAGACAGGTACTTTGCTGACTTCTTCGAATGAGGAGGCTCAGTCAGGAACAGAATGGTCATGTGAGGCTTATTGGCAGAAGAAACTGTCGGGTTAGAGAGACTCGCTGAAAGTGATATTTTTTTGAAGTGGGTTTCTGTGAAGTAATCCTCCTCATTTTGAGTTTAACCTGTYAGTCCAGTTCAAGGGCAGCAGTAAATATCTTACCTGTTGTGGATAGCGTTTTGCACAAGCTCAGTTAGAAGAGATGGAGTTTAATTTAAACCAAAAAGGACTAACAGCTAATTTAAGCAAGGCCAAGAATTRAGTTCAGCCAGCGAATAAGTATGCTTGATTTTTATTTTGCACTCAGAGTGCCAAGTCAGAAAAGCCCACCGAAACGTCCCACAACTTCAGAATTTCAACTTTAAAGCCCTGACATCAAAATCCAACATGGTAAAATCTGGTGATAGCTGAAGAAATAACTGGTTTAGTATCCCATCAAATGTGTTGCACATGTAAAATTTCTGTACTCGTGCACGGTACTGAGGTGTTCTGAATCTTTAAAATTGTTTGTTTGTTTGTTTGTTTGTTTGTTTGTT